TAACCATGTAATAGCAGCCTGAAATCTCAAAACTGGTGAAGCGAGTATTCAAAAAATGAAAAATGAAAAATCTTAAGAAGATATGAACAAGCTACTTTGGCTATATAAGTTACTGGCTATTTATGCATCAAAAATCAAGTATCACACAATTTCAAATTTCTTAAGGTTATAAATTTATTAAATTGTTATAAATGAAACCCCTAAACGTACCTGTGGTGCCCCATAAATACTACACGTAAGAGTTAGTGAATCTCCATAGGTTGCTTCAACATCTTCTAGCCCTTGTTCAAATTGAAGCAAAGGCGATTCCAACAGCGAGGCGCATGTCGTCAACTGAGCTTGCATCTGAAAATCGTACATTATTCTCTAGTTTAGGAATGATAAAAGCATTTTTTATCATCCACCTCATATGAAAAATGACTTTATGTGGAGATGATCGTGGTTCTAATACGTCTGGACTTCTAAATAGCACGAGAGTGGTAGTGAACATCTATGTAAAACCTTTCAAATCTCTGCTTCAAAAAGTTTAGGCAATACGAGGATAAAAGGTGGTTGAAAAATATGTCCCGCACGCAGAAATTTCCCCTTAAATTTTCCTTTCTGCAGCATATCTCATCTTAGAGAATTTAAAAACTTCACCTCCTCAAATAATTAATTTGAAAAAATATATAAACAGACTCCTTCTACTACCAGCAAGTATCCCCTATGCGAAGATTTATCGAAAGCCAAACATGCAAAACTGTTTAACTATTCGCTTCCAGACCGTTATGATTAAGACCCAAAGCCGATTTTCTTTATACCTTATCTATAGCTAAGCTGCTTTGCTTTTTAACAACTTTTTATCGTAATTCAGGCAGGAATGTGTTTGAATTATTCATCTGCTACGGTATTAGTGATTCCCCATCCGCACACATCTTTTTATACCCAAATACAGTTTGGGTGTAATGACATGAACAATCAGAGATCTCATCGCGTTTGATCTATTTTTAGAAAATTTGACGGACGCTCGACAACTTATCTGATTTGTGTTTTTTTTTTCACGCAGAAGCGTAAAAAACGCGAATCAGATGAGCGTACGAGCTGCGTAGGTTGTAAGAAGGATAAGTACAACTCGAGTTCGAGCTTTTGCACGAACTAAACATTTGAACGAATAGCTGCAGGCAATATTTAACAGGATTCACACCTTCTAAAAATTGTAAATTAAACAAAATTTCTTCCTTAACAAAACATTTCTCATTTTCAAATATACTTTAATCAAACTGAGCTGTTTGAAAGTCGAGAAGTTTGTTTTGAATACCAACGGTGGATACCAATTTAGTAAGAGACCGAGGTTCCGCAGACAGTTTTCATACCCCCATCCTATCAAACTAAAGCGTCTCTCAGTTTGATTAAAGCAAGTCCTGCAATTTTGCAGGAAAGCAGTCGATTTGTTTTGCTGTGATGTGTGCAACTTGCGCAAAACATGCGAATA